ATTTTATAGTAAAGTCTGAAAAGTAACGAAAAATTCTAATATAACTTCAGTTCATACAAAAATTCAAAACTCGGTAGAATCATATTAGCTATACTGATATGGCGTCTCCCTACACCTAGCGGCGAGAGTAACAACCAGAAACGCCAATACCAACTTCATAGACACGTTGCGTGTGAAGAACGTCGCAAACTGTCAAGTTGGCGACGGCGCATCGTGCAACACTTGCGTGGGCTCGAGGGATGCAATAAAATGCAATCTCATTCTCTTGTGCATCAAGCTTGGAAGAGTGAAAATAAAACCTAACCTAAATTCACTTTATATGCTTTAGTGAGATGCTTTATACTTGTTTTGTTATTATAAATTAAACTTATATACACGTTATTCAGTTCTTTTAATTATAAATATAAATTATATATAGACCCAACATCTATATAATTGGTGACCGCGACTGAGAAAACACGTGGCTGAATTCTGATCTTGATACTACAAGCGAGGTATACTATATCATTAATAATGTCTTCACCCGCAAACACTGAAGCCTCACAAGATCTAAATCGATCGCTCATCGATTTTGACGAAACTCAAGTTCGCACGCCATGTGCGAGCAACTCCAACCAAGTGAACAATGATTTAAAAACGGAACAAATTTACAACGTGGGCAGGCATACAATAACCCCGTTCATGGAAGATGCTCCTGATCTATGGTTCCTGTTGATTGAGACAGAGTTTCTTGGAGATAAGATCAAATCCGACCATGCGAAGTACACGGCGGTATTGCGTGCTCTGGACAGGTCTACTTTACACCTGGTAAGCGATGTGTTGCGAAATCCGCCAACCGAAAATAAATACAACACGTTGAAGAGCATAATCCTAGACCGAGTATCCGAGTCGAGGTCAAAGCAGGTAGACAAATTGTTAACAAACGTTGTCCTAGGTGACAAAAAGCCATCCCAGCTACTACGGGAAATGATTGACCTGGCTCGGAGTGAAATCTCGGAGGATATCATCCATAAACTTTGGTTGGACAGACTCCCACAACACATCCGGCCTCTACTGCTTGTATCGAAAAACATTGGGCTACAAGCCATTGGCGAGATGGCAGACAGGCTTGTAGATACTTGTGGACTGCCATCATCGGTGATGGCCACAGCGAGCAGAGCACCTGAACCAAGAAGTGACCGCACCCAAGAAATTCTGCTTGCCATGATGCAGAAACTAAATGCCTTGACGACAGAAGTGGAGAATTTAAAACATAGCAGAGAACATGACGAGAGAAGCAGGACCAGAAGTCACTCCAGGCACAGGAGAGGGAGATCAAAGACGCCGTCCAAATCACAGCTATGCTTTTACCATAGCAGGTTTGGAGAGAAGGCTACCAAATGCATAGAACCCTGTTTGGTTAAGACTCTCCTGAAGCCGGAAAACTAAAGTCACCATCAACACCAGGAGCAAGTAATGATGGTGATATTAATTCTGTCTGTCCAGAGCTCCGACTATGTGTGACAGACAGAAAAACACGGATAAATTTTCTTATAGACTCTGGCTCCGTTCTCTCGATTCTTCCAGCTAGCAAGTTTGCAACCGGTCGTGCCAAGGAAGAGATTGTTCTGTATGCAGCCAATTCCAGCCGAATATCCACCTATGGAAAGCGGACTCTCGAGCTGGACCTTTCGCTGCGCAGACCCTTCACTTGGCAATTCACAGTAGCAGATGTGGCAACAGCCATAATCGGTGCAGACTTGCTAAGCTACTACAATCTACTAATAGACCTGAAAGGCAAAAGACTAATTGATTCAACGACAGGCTTAGCCTCTGATGGCAAAGTGCTGAAGACCCAGAACATTAACATTTCCACAATTAACCCACACCAACCTTTCAGGAGCTTACTAAACAAATATATAACAATCACTAGAACGCCACAGAGACTAACAATTAAACCATCTCCTTTCGCACACAGGATTACCACAACAGGTCCACCAGTTGCTGCCCGGTTCAGGAAGATTTTTGGCGAAAAAGCATCAGCTGCAAAAGCCGAGATACAAAATCTCCTGAACAGGGGCATTTTGAGACCTTCAAGCAGTCCGTGGGCAAGTCCAATACATATGGTATCAAAAAAGGATGGATCTTATAGACTCTGTGGTGACTATAGAAAACTTAATTCAAGCACGCAACCAGACAAATATCCTCCTCCACTAATCAGTGATGTTTTTACAAACCTGCACAATAAAACAATTTTTTCAACAATAGATCTTGCAAAAGCGTATCATCAGGTGCCGATGCATGAAGAGGACATACAGAAGACTGCCATCATAACTCCATGGGGATTATATGAGTACCTCTGCATGCCTTTTGGACTGAAGAATGCCACTCAGACATTCCAGCGCTACATAAACCACATATTCCAAGACATTGACTTTGTGTTTATATATGTGGATGATATTCTGGTTATGTCTGAGAACATGGAGCAACACCATCGCCACTTGCAGATAGTTTTTGAGCGTTTGCAAGAACATTCTCTAACCATCAACACCAACAAATGCGTCCTAGGCAAGTCCCAAGTAGATTTTCTGGGTTATAAGCTCAGTGAGAAAGGCTATTCTCCAGCTACAGACCGGGTGGACAAGATTTTGAACTTCCCACAGCCAACAACAGTTCTGGAACTGCGTAGGTTTCTGGGAATGCTGAATTATTACAGGAAATCAGTCCCAAAAGCAGCCAAACTGCAAGCACCGCTGAACAGTTACCTACGTAGTTCAGTCAAGAAGGATAAAACACCTGTCATTTGGAACCCAGAATCTCTGCAAGCCTTTGAGGATGTAAAGAATGCTCTTGCAAACGCCGCTTTACTTCATTATCCAGCTGCTGCAACAAATATATGTTTGGTAACAGATGCGTCAACAACAGCCATTGGAGCCACTCTGGAGCAGGAAGAAAATGGTGCATGGCACCCTATAGGTTTCTACTCCAGAAAGCTCACATCCACGGAACAGAGGTATTCAACATATGATCGCGAGCTTTTAGGCATCTTTGCGGCCATAAAATATTTTGAATACCTGCTGGAAGGTAGGCATTTCATTATCAAGACAGACCACAAACCCATCACATATGCATTTCAGCAGAGACCTGAAAAGGCGTCAGACAGGCAGCGCCGGCAATTGGAATACATATCCCAGTTCTCTACTGAAATTGTGTATGTGAAAGGTGAAGAAAATGTAGTGGCAGATACATTATCAAGAATCAACACTATTGAAATGCCTACCAGACTGTCAGCTGAACAAATATGTATAGAGCAAAGCTTGGATCCAGAAATGCAGGAGCTGCTTGGTGGAGAAACTTCTCTTAGATTACACAAATTAACATTGGATGGTTTTCCGATCTATTGTATAATTGAGTCAAACTTTGTTAAACCTTATCTCCCACAGAGCCTCCGCAAAACAGCATTCAACGTAGTCCATGGTATTTCTCATCCAAGCATTAGGACTACATCCAGGGAAGTACGCAGCCGGTATGTATGGCCTGGAATTGGAAAGGATGTTGCTACTTGGACTCGTCAATGCATATCCTGTCAAAAGTCCAAGATCCATAAACATAATCATTTCAATCCTTTGCACATCCCTATTCCTGATGAAAGATTTTCTCATATTCATATTGACATAATTTCCTTACCCAATACTAATGGTTTTCCTTACTGCTTAACAATTATTGACAGATTTACAAGATGGCCGGAAGCCATTCCACTGAGAGACATCACAGCTGAGACAGTCACGCAAGCATTGTTTACGTGCTGGATTTCCAGATTTGGTACACCAACTACAATAACATCAGACCAAGGCACGCAGTTTGAGTCATCTTTCTTCAAGTCCTTGGCACAGGCAGTTGGTGCAAGGAAAGCACGTACGACAGCATACCACCCTCAAGCAAATGGATTGGTAGAACGTTGGCACAGAACCCTAAAAGCTGCACTGATGTGTTCTTCTGAACTGTGGATCAAGACACTACCCTACGTACTACTTGGTCTACGGAATTCATTCAAAGAAGACATCAAGACATCAGCAGCAGAAATGGTTTACGGAACCACATTGAGACTTCCAGGTGATTTTTTCAATACTTCTAATAACTCACAGAATCCACAGGTCTTTCTAGAGAATCATCGTCGAATCATGTGTGCATTGAAACCAACTCCAACAGCCCATCACAACAAATCCAAGATTTTCATTTTGAAAGATATGGGCACATGCACACATGTATTCCTCAGAGCAGACCATGTACGAAAGCCTTTGGAACCACCTTACAGCGGACCCTATGAAATACTTGAGCGAGTTTCTGATAGGATTTACAAACTTCGCATTAATGGGGCCGCAAAGAACTTCGCTGTTGAAAGGCTAAAACCAGCATATATAAATAAAACAGATGCAGATTACGAATCACTTTCTCAACCACTTCATAGACATCCCTGGGAGTCATCAAAGGAACCTACAAAGAAAAAAGCCAAAAAGAAAGTTGCGTTCAATATTTGACAACACACATTTAACCTTATTTCTATTCTGACAGATAGCTAACCATAGCTAACCTTCATCTTGGGGGGAATGATATGGCGTCTCTCTACACCTAGCGGCGAGAGTAACAACCAGAAACGCCAATACCAACTTCATAGACACGTTGCGTGTGAAGAACGTCGCAAACTGTCAAGTTGGCGACGGCGCATCGTGCAACACTTGCGTGGGCTCGAGGGATGCAAAAAATGCAATCTCATTCTCTTGTGCATCAAGCTTGGAAGAGTGAAAATAAAACCTAACCTAAATTCACTTTATATCAGTGAGATGCTTTATACTTGTTTTGTTATTATAAATTAAACTTATATACACGTTATTCAGTTCTTTTAATTATAAATATAAATTATATATAGACCCAACATCTATATAATTGGTGACCGCGACTGAGAAAAACGTGGCTGAATTCTGATCTTGATACTACAAGCGAGGTATACTATATCATTAATAATGTCTTCACCCGCAAACACTGAAGCCTCACAAGATCTAAATCGATCGCTCATCGATTTTGACGAAACTCAAGTTCGCACGCCATGTGCGAGCAACTCCAACCAAGTGAACAATGATTTAAAAACGGAACAAATTTACAACGTGGGCAGGCATACAATAACCCCGTTCATGGAAGATGCTCCTGATCTATGGTTCCTGTTGATTGAGACAGAGTTTCTTGGAGATAAGATCAAATCCGACCATGCGAAGTACACGGCGGTATTGCGTGCTCTGGACAGGTCTACTTTACACCTGGTAAGCGATGTGTTGCGAAATCCGCCAACCGAAAATAAATACAACACGTTGAAGAGCATAATCCTAGACCGAGTATCCGAGTCGAGGTCAAAGCAGGTAGACAAATTGTTAACAAACGTTGTCCTAGGTGACAAAAAGCCATCCCAGCTACTACGGGAAATGATTGACCTGGCTCGGAGTGAAATCTCGGAGGATATCATCCATAAACTTTGGTTGGACAGACTCCCACAACACATCCGGCCTCTACTGCTTGTATCGAAAAACATTGGGCTACAAGCCATTGGCGAGATGGCAGACAGGCTTGTAGATACTTGTGGACTGCCATCATCGGTGATGGCCACAGCGAGCAGAGCACCTGAACCAAGAAGTGACCGCACCCAAGAAATTCTGCTTGCCATGATGCAGAAACTAAATGCCTTGACGACAGAAGTGGAGAATTTAAAACATAGCAGAGAACATGACGAGAGAAGCAGGACCAGAAGTCACTCCAGGCACAGGAGAGGGAGATCAAAGACGCCGTCCAAATCACAGCTATGCTTTTACCATAGCAGGTTTGGAGAGAAGGCTACCAAATGCATAGAACCCTGTTTGGTTAAGACTCTCCTGAAGCCGGAAAACTAAAGTCACCATCAACACCAGGAGCAAGTAATGATGGTGATATTAATTCTGTCTGTCCAGAGCTCCGACTATGTGTGACAGACAGAAAACACGGATAAATTTTCTTATAGACTCTGGCTCCGTTCTCTCGATTCTTCCAGCTAGCAAGTTTGCAACCGGTCGTGCCAAGGAAGAGATTGTTCTGTATGCAGCCAATTCCAGCCGAATATCCACCTATGGAAAGCGGACTCTCGAGCTGGACCTTTCGCTGCGCAGACCCTTCACTTGGCAATTCACAGTAGCAGATGTGGCAACAGCCATAATCGGTGCAGACTTGCTAAGCTACTACAATCTACTAATAGACCTGAAAGGCAAAAGACTAATTGATTCAACGACAGGCTTAGCCTCTGATGGCAAAGTGCTGAAGACCCAGAACATTAACATTTCCACAATTAACCCACACCAACCTTTCAGGAGCTTACTAAACAAATATATAACAATCACTAGAACGCCACAGAGACTAACAATTAAACCATCTCCTTTCGCACACAGGATTACCACAACAGGTCCACCAGTTGCTGCCCGGTTCAGGAAGATTTTTGGCGAAAAAGCATCAGCTGCAAAAGCCGAGATACAAAATCTCCTGAACAGGGGCATTTTGAGACCTTCAAGCAGTCCGTGGGCAAGTCCAATACATATGGTATCAAAAAAGGATGGATCTTATAGACTCTGTGGTGACTATAGAAAACTTAATTCAAGCACGCAACCAGACAAATATCCTCCTCCACTAATCAGTGATGTTTTTACAAACCTGCACAATAAAACAATTTTTTCAACAATAGATCTTGCAAAAGCGTATCATCAGGTGCCGATGCATGAAGAGGACATACAGAAGACTGCCATCATAACTCCATGGGGATTATATGAGTACCTCTGCATGCCTTTTGGACTGAAGAATGCCACTCAGACATTCCAGCGCTACATAAACCACATATTCCAAGACATTGACTTTGTGTTTATATATGTGGATGATATTCTGGTTATGTCTGAGAACATGGAGCAACACCATCGCCACCTGCAGATAGTTTTTGAGCGTTTGCAAGAACATTCTCTAACCATCAACACCAACAAATGCGTCCTAGGCAAGTCCCAAGTAGATTTTCTGGGTTACAAGCTCAGTGAGAAAGGCTATTCTCCAGCTACAGACCGGGTGGACAAGATTTTGAACTTCCCACAGCCAACAACAGTTCTGGAACTGCGTAGGTTTCTGGGAATGCTGAATTATTACAGGAAATCAGTCCCAAAAGCAGCCAAACTGCAAGCACCGCTGAACAGTTACCTACGTAGTTCAGTCAAGAAGGATAAAACACCTGTCATTTGGAACCCAGAATCTCTGCAAGCCTTTGAGGACGTAAGAATGCTCTTGCAAACGCCGCTTTACTTCATTATCCAGCTGCTGCAACAAATATATGTTTGGTAACAGATGCGTCAACAACAGCCATTGGAGCCACTCTGGAGCAGGAAGAAAATGGTGCATGGCACCCTATAGGTTTCTACTCCAGAAAGCTCACATCCACGGAACAGAGGTATTCAACATATGATCGCGAGCTTTAGGCATCTTTGCGGCCATAAAATATTTTGAATACCTGCTGGAAGGTAGGCATTTCATTATCAAGACAGACCACAAACCCATCACATATGCATTTCAGCAGAGACCTGAAAAGGCGTCAGACAGGCAGCGCCGGCAATTGGAATACATATCCCAGTTCTCTACTGAAATTGTGTATGTGAAAGGTGAAGAAAAATGTAGTGGCAGATACATTATCAAGAATAACACTATTGAAATGCCTACCAGACTGTCAGCTGAACAAATATGTATAGAGCAAAGCTTGGATCCAGAAATGCAGGAGCTGCTTGGTGGAGAAACTTCTCTTAGATACACAAATTAACATTGGATGGTTTTCCGATCTATTGTATAATTGAGTCAAACTTTGTTAAACCTTATCTCCCACAGAGCCTCCGCAAAACTGCATTCGACGTAGTCCATGGTATTTCTCATCCAAGCATCAGGACTACATCCAGGGAAGTACGCAGCCGGTATGTTTGGCCTGGAATTGGAAAGGATGTTGCTACTTGGACTCGTCAATGCATATCCTGTCAAAAGTCCAAGATCCATAAACATAATCATTTCAATCCTTTGCACATCCCTATTCCTGATGAAAGATTTTCTCATATTCATATTGACATAATTTCCTTACCCAATACTAATGGTTTTCCTTACTGCTTAACAATTATTGACAGATTTACAAGATGGCCGGAAGCCATCCACTGAGAGACATCACAGCTGAGACAGTCACGCAGGCATTGTTTACGTGCTGGATTTCCAGATTTGGTACACCAACTACAATAACATCAGACCAAGGCACGCAGTTTGAGTCATCTCTCTTCAAGTCCTTGGCACAGGCAGTTGGTGCAAGGAAAGCACGTACGACAGCATACCACCCTCAAGCAAATGGATTAGTAGAACGTTGGCACAGAACCCTAAAAGCTGCACTGATGTGTTCTTCTGAACCGTGGATCAAGACACTACCCTACGTACTACTTGGTCTACGGAATTCATTCAAGAAGACATCAAGACATCAGCAGCAGAAATGGTTTTACGGACCACATTGAGACTTCCAGGTGATTTTTTCAATACATCTAATAACTCACAGAATCCACAGGTCTTTCTAGAGAATCATCGCCGAATCATGTGTGCATTGAAACCAACTCCAACAGCCCACCACAACAAATCCAAGATTTCATTTTGAAAGATATGGGCACATGCACACATGTATTCCTCAGAGCAGATCATGTACGAAAGCC